GTTATAGTTGTATTTAGTTATACTTATTCGTGAGTTATATACGGTTGACGGGATTTCTCTTCAACAGCAGCTTGGTATATAGATATAAATACATTCATTGTGTGGTCAAACTGTGGAAAAAGTTCTCAGACTGCATCATAAGCCCATTTCTAGAAAAATATTAAAAGTCTAATGTTGTCTAATTCATATTGTAAATTTCTGATGAGGAGGAAGCTAAGTACATTTCTGGTCTTTGACTGAATTTTACAAACTGTAAAATTCAGTCAAAAACAGTGTACACTTTATTCAATAAATTAATTTTTCTTATGTAATAAGCTTTTGCTTTTTCTATAAAGAATTTTATTTATATTAGAGACTAGCTGCAAGATCCCGCTTCGCTGGGTTTTTATTTGTATGTAATATAGTTTTTTTTATATATATAAAAGACTGTTTTTCTAAGTAATCTAGAATCTAGCTGCAAGGACCAGCTTCGCTGGGCAAAAAGTAACGATAGTGAAGATTAAGATAATTACGTTATAGCTAATCTTACCCGTTTTCACAGAATGCAAGAATTAGGTCCCCCGTTTTCAGACTAATTAGAGAATTTTTACGTTTAGTCAAACAAACTATTTTCAACGTTTACGGAACGTTTACAATCGTTCTATAATCGAACCAATATTTGAATTTTATGTTCGAATTTAATTCAAACAAATTCGAACAAATCAAACAAAACATTCGAAACAGAAAGCCACTTTCACCCACTTTCAGCCTCATATCTCCCGCACCCTTATAGCTATCGAGACGCAACCATCCCTATGCACGAATGGAGACTTGGGGCTACCACCACATACAAACACCATTCATGTGCGATGTGTAGTTTTTGCAAAAAAGTGAAGTATAGGGGACATACATGTCCATTTTTATATATATATATATATAGATTTTCTTAAGTACAATAAGAAAAAAATCGTTTTATTAATAATTAATTTTTTTTTTTTTTCTCATTATACGATTTCATTACATTCCGTGATTGTCATCGCAAAATCGAAAAAGGAAGGTTGCCTGTAAAACTGATTTTTGCATTAATGCGTTTATTGTTTTTTGAATATTCTGCGTGCGAAATTACTTGAATATTATTTTTCTAAAAATATTGTGGAAATAAGGTAGGTTAATACAGAAACTATTTATCGCACATGTACTGTATATGAGCTTAATAAATAAATAAATAATAAATTTTATCAAACGATGAGATCAGCCGATTAATTAATTGTATTGTGTACAATATTTTATACCACTAAGGAAAATACTGTAGGTCTACGGTAAATTTCGTTTTCCCACAGTTAAACTTTGCCACTAATTGTTGTTGTGATAACTTTAACACGATCTTCTAACGACGGCACTTTGCATTTCTTTCGTTTTTTGTACAATTTCGAACAAACTGAAATGAATTTCCTTTGTTGCTAGACTAATTCATTAACACCTGCACCTAATTTCAACGGTGGGTTCAAATGAGAGTTTAGACTAATTCATTATATTAGGTGGGTGAAAACGTTGTTGAATAATAGTTTAGTCCAGATATATTCGCGGAAGTGGTCACTTATTAGTTTTTGCATGTTGTTTCGGACCAAAAATCTATGCCTGCGGTCACGTTACATAGGTGGTCATTTAATACAGGTAGCTTATACGAAGACTCTATGGATAAACTATTCTGTGCCAGAAATTTTTGCCCGTTTTGACAGGTGCCCATCGAATGCAGGTGGTCGCCTAAGCAGTTTTCACTGTATTTATATACTCAGAAACTATATGATATATTGAACTTATAAGCATTTGTTTAATTGTTATCACTTACTTAATTAAATTTGAATTCTTTAAAGAAAATTATTAAATTTAAGTTTTTAAATTTTCAACTTATATTGTTTATCTTCATATCAGTAAGACATTAGATTATGTAATTCCAAGCTCTTTGTTACATATTATGATTCTGACACACACAATCTCTGTTTTAATGACAGTTTTTAAATTATTTTTTTGATAAAATAGTTTAAAATTAAAAGAAGAAATTTTATTTTCAAAGATTTTTTCTCTGATATGATATTTCAATAAGAATCTATCATTTTTGCCCCTCATGTCAACTTTTTATTGTTTCATTAATTAAATATCATCACGTTATATTCTGTTTATATATGTGAGAACCCGTGCTATAGTTTTTATAAAAAGATTAATATTTTAATAATTTATTAAAACAAATTGTTAACAAATTGTTAACAAAAGAAAAAAATTGTAGAAAAAGCAGCAAGGAAGTAACAAGATCTTGTCAAAGATAACAGTTTTTTCCAGTTTCAAATAAAAGTAAATAGAAGTAAGAAAACATTAACCAAGATTTTTACTCAACTTTTAAATTCTCCAACTTCTCCAGATTTTCTGACTTTCACCAATGTTTTTTTTTCAGTAACTTTTACTACAGTGGTGCCTCATATAACGTACTTAATCCGTTCCAGATGCAAGTCCGTTAAGTGAAAAGTCCGTTATACGAAACGCATTTTCCCATAGAAATACATACTAATACATATAATTCATTCTGCAGCATAAAATAACCATACTGTACCATAAAAAAATGAAAATGGAGCAGTCACCAATTATGCTGGATAGTCAGATGTTGTGAGGAGGAAGTGGAGGAACACTTTCTTTACACATTCATACAGATACAGACTTTTTACACATTGCAGCAGGTCTCTTTTTATTGTTTTTTAATCGGAGTCAAATTCAGGAGAGGCTACCGGAGCTTTCAGGGTTATCTCCTCTTGTTCCATCCTTTGTTTTTTGGCAGCTTGCTTCTTGAAACACATGTCCAAGGTGGTTTGTTTCTCTCTCTTCTTCAACACCTGTCAGAAATGACGGGCAAGGGTGTCATTGTAGAGGTCATTGATCCTGTTGGCCTCAGCTGTGTTTGGATAATGAGCGTTAGTAAACTCCTGAACCTCTCCCCATTTGACAAGGAAGTTTTAGTCAACTTTCACTCCTTCTGATGATTTCTTGCTTTGTTTCAATTGAAATCATCTTTCTGTTTTTTTAGAAGCCATGATTTGCACAACACTTGAATAAATGTAAATACCCTGCACTGAGGTGATGTACGTAATAAACAAGGGAGCAAGCCGAATCCCAACAGGCACTCTTTACTACAGATATACTAATATATTATAAAAATAGCAGATTGTCATTGGCAACAGCAAAAGAGTGGAAACATCATTAGCACTTATTCGCAGCCAGTCCGTTGCTTGAGTCATGTAACGGCCAAACAGAAAGTCCATTGTTCACAGTGTCTGTTATTCAAAGCATATGTTATACGAGGCACTACTGTATTTTATTAACACAAACCAACAAATAACAGAACTTTGTATTAAGTGAAAAATTCATTTCACATAAAATTTAACTTCTGAAAAGATGCCTTTGATATTTGAATGCTACTATTGATTAGAATAAAAATCTGTTATTTTTTTATTCTTGGTTTTTAGACCAAGGAATACATTTTTAAGAAAAAACAGAACATTCATTTCTTACATCTATGACATATTTCATGTGAATATAAGTTTGTTTCCTTTTAATTAAATTAATAATAATATTTTCCTGCATTCATTTAATTCATATTCTTTATTTTCTAAAGTTTATATATGTATATATGAAGCCTTTTAAATATATTTAGAATTATCATCGTAACTTCTTAAAAATACATTTTCATGAAAATAAATTATATTTTCTTAATATATCTATCAATATTTTTGGTTTCAAAACACCAATTTACAATTTTAAAATATATTTTAATTAAAATTATAAATTCATTCATACAAAACATACAATTTAGCTTAATTTATAACAGAAATCATTTTAAATGCAGTAAAATTACAAATTAAATAAAATCATTCAACAAGTAAATTTTTTGTAATGACAAATACAATCATCTTTATATTTCCATGATTAAAATCCATGTAAATATATAAAATTTACATGAATTTTATAAATTTTTAACCACTAATTGAAACTAACCTTTATAATACGATCTCCTCTTTGTACACCAGCTTTTGCTGCAGCACCATCTATGGAACAAATAAATATATTAAAATATTTTAAAATATGAAAATTAATTTCCATATTTTTAATTATTAATTAATTGTACCTTATGAGGATTGTTCAAGTCAAACTAGGACTTTTAGATCCATAGACAACAAAGAATGTAAAATTGCTAAGTCTCTGGTGACAGTAAAAACCTAGGGTTTCCAATCACCAACTAGGGAATGTGTGTTAATTGATGTAGAAGTGAAATAGTGAACAGCAGTGTAAATGCTTAATTGGGATAAAATTTCTTGTTAGACAAGATGTAAAACCAACAGAAATTTATCAATTACTTTAAACCTACACAGTAAAGACACAAGGCACTATTTTAAGACTTCTAAATGGCATAAACTCTTCAAGGAACATGTAAGTAAGTGATGATTCTGGCTAGGATAGTTCCAAGCCATTGTCATACTAATGAACATATGGGTTAATCAGCAGATATCATGCAACAAACTTGCAATGAAGATGGGCCTTGGTTTAAGAACTCTTGGCACAATCATTCATGATCATCTGCAGTTCTAGAAAATTAGTGCATGGTGAAAGTGAAGTTTAAAAAGTTCGTTGTTTAACTACTGGTGACCAACTCGATATTCCAATAACATTAACAAAGTTCAGATAGTTCAATATGCTGATCAGGTCCATTGAGGAGACATCTTGCGACAAATCGATGAGTTGTTGGCTAAAAGTAATCTTCTTCCAGCAGTTGAAAAACAGACAGTGAGACTAATATTTAAATCATAAGAGCAAAGTTTTCTTGGATCAAATTGTAATCTGTAATAGACCTGTACATGTCACCTTACTCTGGAATCAAAGCAAAAAACTAAACAGTAAAAACACACAAACTTGTCCCCATCTGCAGGTAAGTTGATGCCCACTGTTTTTCTGAACAGCCATAGCATCATTCATCTGGAATTTTTGTTCAATGATATCATCATAACTAGCATTTACTATTACAGTACCTGATTTTCAAAGATGTGCAGAAAGCACTATGAAAACTGTGTGGTTTGATCACAAATACATCACCATCTTACAGCTCAGTATTTTTTCAGAACAACATACAATCCCATGAGGTCACTTGACCACATGCAAAATCCACAAACTGGGCTAGAAGACATCACCACATTTTCCTTATAATTCAGATCTCACTCCTAGCATTTTTACCTTTTTGGACCTCTAAAAGACTTCCTGAGTAGGCAACATCTCCCCAGTGATGATACTATTTAAGAGACTAACTGAATCTGGGTTAGACATGTTGACAAAACCTTCTGAGAAGCTGGTTTCAAGGACAAACATATTTCTGTAGCAAGAGATTTTCTGGAGAAATAAATGTACTTTGTTTCTTTGTTACTGAATCTATTTGTTCCATACCATCAAAAGTCCTAGTTTGACTTGAACAATCCTTGTATAATACATATATATATTATATTTGTTATGTTATTTTCTATTATACTACTTTATACTGTTATATAGTTATACTGTTTATTTTAATTTGAATTTTGTTCTAGATTTGAACTGAAAAAAAGCTTAGAAGAGAAAGTTACTGTAATTGTAGGCAGATAACCTAATGATAGCCTCTTTCAATTAGGCAGATAACCTGCCTAATTGAAAGAGGTTATGCAATGAGCAGATTATATGCCAATAATGAGTTAAAGTTGATTCATACTACATGACTGGCTGGTGACAGACATCCAACCCACTGGATTACTGTATCTATTCATAAGTTCACTAGAAATGACACCGAGTATTCAACTATGGTATATTTTTACAATCCTAACCTATTTCAATAAATTAAGATTTAATTTTTTAATAAATACAATTGCAATTAAAATGGAGATTAATTTTCAGTCTAACACAAAATACAAGAAATCAAAAATATTAAATTTTTACATAACAATTATTAAGGATTAAAAAACTTTAAGAAAGAATTTTAATATCAATAATAAAATTATTTTTGTTTAATTTTTTCAAAGTTTATTTTATTAAAAAAAAATAAAAATAAACAAACACCTTTCTCTATTCCAGCACACTTTTAATGCGTTGAAAAACGTTTCGATCGTTTTAATCGACCATCATCAGTTCAAAATTCGAACTATATAATGAACAAAGTATTCAAAAAAATACAAAAAACTTCACATCACTTATTTACAATTTAACGCTAAAGCGCATGCGCGTACTTATAAAACGTATAGATTTTTCAACGCATTAAAAGTGTGCTGGAATAGAGAAAGGTGTTTGTTTATTTTTATTTAATATTTTCAGTAAGCATTTAGTTGTTTATTTTATTATTATTACAAAGGAAATTAGTCAAAAACAAAAATGATAAATCATATTTATTTATTTTTACACTTAATTTACATAATTGGGACAGTTCATAAACACCTGCAATCGAATTACAGAAGTAGCCAGTGAGTACAAGGCTGAATTTTTCAATATTTCAGAGAAATTTCTCAATAGCCACTTCCCTATCAAGACTAAATACTGTACCATACACAGGAGGCATCTTCAAATGTACTGTACAGTACATTATAAAGATAATACACAAGTAAACATTTATGTTTGTACGCCACTGTACTGAGATATTGTCTTTTCTAACGTTCACTTAGATTGAAAATTATCTAATATTTTAAATTTTATACAAATGTTAGCAAATGTAAATAGATTTCTATATTATAAGAGTTTAAAAAATAAAGTAGAAAGGTGTTGTTATCTTTAGTTTTGATTTTGTTAATTATTATTTTGAATTAAATTTAATTAAAAATTTGTTGTAATTATTAGTTAATATAAGACATATTACTATAAAATAGCAGTCTAACCACCTATCTTTAGAAAAAAAATTATATTAATTTAATTATTATAGAATATTTGAGTTTGGTTGTTTATGCATATCTACAATGGTTTGTTTACAGAAATTAAACAAAGAAAGCAATATTTTAATGCTTAAGTAAATTTTGCAATGTATTTTTAATGCTTAAGTAAATTTTTGCAATTAATTGCAAATTGTGAATACAGAAAAAGAAATACATTGAAAATGTTAAGTAGCAGATTGAAATAAAACATATACGATTAAAAAATACAATCATGTTTTCATACTCAAAACTGAAAAATTTCTATTTTATTACAAAACAAAACAGAAATAATAATTATAGATTGCATGTAGTTGAGTTCCAGAAAGTCAATCTCTGATAACTCAACATTCTCTAAAGCTTGACGTTGTTCAAAATAAATAAATAAAAATCCATATAATCTAACTTTTACATCTATAACTTAACACTAGAATCAAGTATATTATTGTTCTTCACTGGCTACACTTGATAATATCATTAATCCCGTATGTTAACAAACTATATAACGCTTTTTCCAAGATGACACTGTAAAATGTCACAATATGAATGTCACTAACTTGAAAATAGCCACCAAATACCAAATATTTTTTAAATTAAAATTTAACTAAAAGTAGAAATAGTCACTATTGATACATAGTTTATACATATATGAATTTGCACATACATCCTTACAAAAATTCCACTATTTAGAGTGGCTTCATCACATCCATAAAACTCATCATCTTCTCAGTCAATATATTTTTTTTAGATTCAGTTTGTGGGACTCTACTATACTTACATTTTTTTTTTTTTTTTTTTTTTGTTTATTTTGCATTTCTGTGGAAGTAATCTAAGTTATTAGCAGTAATGAGAAATCACTTCAGTGAATACTAAAATAAACTCAATTACAACAAACTGCTTGAATTTTTCAATTATGATAATTTCACTTAAGTAGTGATCTCTGAGTTAGTCACTCATATTGTAATCACTCAAACGTTAGGTCAAGAAATCACTGAAATGCTATGAATGCTTATTTAAATGTTTCTCAAATAGCAATTGACTAAGAGATAAAAGTATCATTAATAACAATATCATTAAAAATAACATTTTATGCATTAATTAATTTGTCAAAACATTTTCACTTATTTTAAAAATTAATGTTTTATAAAAATTGTTTTACACATTCATGTGTTACTATATCAATACACATTGAATTAAAATGTTGAATGCAAAAATACTTATTTTAAAATTCTATTTTAAAAAAACTATTTTTATTATAATATAAACTAAAAATTAATTATTTCAACTCACCTTGCCTAACAGAACGAACAAAAACAGGGTTATCACCAGAAACTGTTAAACCATAGCCTTTTTCATCTCTCTGTATAATTACACATCGTTGTACTAATTGTGTACCTATTAAAAAACATTACTTTTTATTTATGCAAAAATTAAAATTGAAATATTTTCTTGTCAAAAATAAAGTTATTTTTTTTTAATTACAACTATAGTTCATTAACGTGGCACCTGGGAGATCAAAGTGGTGTGGGTTTTGCAAAATTAAGTTATATGCAAACTGAATATTGCAGAAAATGCTGTATATTTTGTACCAACACAAACTGTTATATGCTTCTAATTTATTTATACAAGATCTTTATTCAGTTTGAAGATAACATAGTGAATGACTGTGTTAAGAGTGATTAAAAAAATCTTCAAAAATGTTAATGAACATATCATTGCACAAAATCAACTTTTACAATGATTCATGTAAATATAATATTTACTTTTCAGGCATGTACTATAACTAGGTTTTTATGTGTCCTGTGCAAAACTTTTATTTTTGACTCTTCTGTTTTTGGAAAAAATATAAAAAAACAAAATAGAAATGATTGATTGTTTTTTAACTTTAACCAAAATGTTACAGAATTGGCCCCATAGTGACAAAGTTTAAAATTTATGCTATAAACATAAAATACTTGGCTTAAAATTGCCACAACACTTTTTTCTGTTGCAAAATAAATTGATGAATTGTCACAAAATTTTTCAACAAGTGAATGAAGCCAGCAGGGAAGTGAGTGAAGGGAGGATGGCCTGAAGGAGAGCAAAGAGAGAGGAGCAAAGTAGGAAGTTAAGCAAAGTGAGAGAGGATGGAAGGTGGGGTGGAGTGAGTAGCGGGTTGGTGTGAGGAGGTTGGCCCCTTACAGAGATTGAATTATCGTAAAATTTTTGTTATGAACAATATATATTGGGAACAAGTGGACCAAACCCATAGGAAAGTGAGCAAAGCAAACCAAACCAGGTAATCATGGAATTGCAATGTTTTCTGTGGGATGTTCAAAAATATCCCAACATTTTGACCAATTCAAAAAAAAAAAAAAAAAACAGAAAAAAAGCTTTTGTTCTGGGATCTTTGGTTTCTATGTTCAATTTTGATGGAGAAAATCTGAAAGGAAAGTTTTTATGTGATTTGAATAAAAACTCTTTTTCCAATTAATATGAGTGTGGAGGAGCATTTCAAAATACAGTAGAGCCTCGATTATCCGACCCCCGATTAACCGACTGTCCTAGTCAGCAAATTTCAAATGTCCGCTAGTGATGTGGCGCTACAATATTTGGCTATGTCTTGGCTACTTTAATATTATTTTTACGTGTTTTAGCTGGAAAGGGAGCCAGTATTTAAACAAGGCTTAATTTTCTAATTTTTAACGATACAATAGTGACGATTATTATTTTTAAAAATTTTTGTTAGGCTTAACATCGATGAAAATTCAACGCGAAGTAGGTTAATAGCGATATACTAATATACTAATTACATGGGATATAATAATATACTACACTAATAATGGATTTTTTCATACTTTTCGGTTATCCGACTTTTCAATTATCCGACCAACCCCAGTCCCCAATTGAGTTGGATAATCGAGGCTCTACTGTAGATCTGAACCTTGCTTACATCATGGAATCTTTATTCAGGATTACACAAATGAACATACTATTGAAATTTTTGTTATGAATTTGGGAACAAGTAAGCAAAGCAAGTGGGGAGTTGAGCCACCATATGAAGCCAGAGGATGAAACCTCCTAGTTTGAAAATATTATTGATCTTTTCTTTTTGATACCACATTTCAGGGCCACTTTGTGCCTGTAAAGTACACTTGTTGCACCTGCCAATTATATTTCATACAATTCACAAAAGATACATATACTCTGAATATGAGAAATATGTTTTTAGGTGCATTGTCATCACATTAGCCTGTAAGAACTATAATACACCATTCATGAACATTACCAAACACAAAACACATGTGCTAGCTCTAATAATTAATATTCATTCAGCACAATGTAAACTACATATAGTTTACAGAATTACACTGCCAAACAAATTCCAATTCATAAAATACTAGTATGCTTGATTATTATTAAACAATTCCAGGTTATTAGCCGCTTTTCAGCACGGTGCTAAATTATTGAGTGCCAGATTAATAAACTTCTACTGTATTAATTTTGAATGTATAAGTAATTTAAATTTTAATTTAAAATTACAAGAAATCATTTTAAATATATTAGTTAAAATAGTAATAATAATAATAATATATTCATTGACTCAGTTATCCTTTGGTAAGTTCATTATAAGCAACACAGAAACATACACATAGTATAGATTAATTACAGAAAAGCATTTAACAATGTCCCAGACACTTGGCTACTGCACACATTTCGCATCTATAAAATCCATTCCAAACTCATTAGTTTCCCTGGTTTTACCATGCTCCATAGGAGAACAACATTACATCTTAACTTCCATAATAAAAACAAATCAAATACACATCAAGCAAGGAATTTTTCAAGAGAAATCCTTGAGTTCTCTTTGGTTCTGCATTGAACTTTATCTAACACACCGAACAAAACCCAATATGGTTACAATATCAGACACAACAAACTAACACTGTTCACATTATTACACCTCATGTACATGGATGATATCAAACATTATTCATCCACACAAAACCAGCTTCATCATCCTTTACAAACTATGCACACATACTCAAATGATATACAAATGGAGTTTGGTTTAGACAAATGCAAAACACTCCACATTGAAAAAATAGTTCTGAGAAAAGGCAAATTTGCCTTTGAAAATGGAGATATTGAATCCATGGAAGAGGGCAAGTTCTACAAGTATTTAGGATTCCAACAAGCCAAACTTATATAACATGCACAAATAAAACATAGATTAACACTCGAATACCAGAACAAATTATCACGCAATACTAAGAACACACCAAAATGCAAAACATAGTTACATATATAATTAAGTATTAAAGCTATGTTGTCCATGTACTCACTTATTCTTTTGGAGTTATATACTGGACAAGCACAGATCTCAAGCAACTCCAAAGGAAAACAAGAAGAACAACACTTACTAAGCATACACAATATCACCCAAAATCATCCATAGAAATACTAAGTCTTCGTCGAAAAGAAGATGGTCATGGCCTGACTAATATAGCCTCTATTAACTGTGAAACAACAGGTATTAATTACTTGATTTAGAATAGAATTAAAATAACCCAAAATCAGATTAAGAATTTTTTCTTGGGAAAAAAACCTATAAAATAATTATTTTTTATGAGTAACATTAACTTTATTTCTTCTAATTTTTATTGCAGAGTAATTATAATTAATTCCTAAATGCAAACATGTTATTTTTTGCTGAAGTTAATTGAATAATAAATAAATTAGCAAAGGAACAGGATACTCAAATGAAATGTAAATAAGACTAAAAAAGGCCATCTATTTACAAAATAGCAATAACAAAACGACCCAAATCATCACTAAATAGTCTAAATAAAGATTTTTATAATTCTGAACAAATGTGAACTAAAACCTGATATCAGCACAAACCCAACTTTTAACTTTTATAACAAAATTAAGGCAATATTCTATTTTTCCCACTTCAGAAACCTTATTTTTAATATTCTTCCCGATAAAATCAAAAAAAAAAAACAAAAATTACCTTGCTGTAAACTTGGAAAGCCATTTTAGTTACATGCTGATTAAATGCTTTCATTTCATCACCAGATCAAACCACAGATTCTGAAATCAAAAAGAAACCCTTCATTTTTGGAAGCATTTCACACTCAAAACTGTTTTGATTTCAGGTTCTGCTTGGTTTGATCTGATTATGAGATAAAAAAAACTTGAAAAATGCTTAATTGGGAAGTAACTGAAGTGGCTCCTCAAGTATGTGTATACTGTGTGGCAAGATACTCTTATTATTCTTTTTAACAAATGGAATCAAACATTTTGAGATATATATATTTAATGTAACCTGTTTCTAATTTATTAATTACATTTAATTATTTATCCTTTTTCTCTGATAGTCAAAAATTTCTGAATTAATTCAGTGAAAACACTTTCTTCTTCAATGAAATTTCAACATTTTCTTACATTCATGTTCTCTGCCATTTTTGTGACACAATGAAACGCTTAACTTGATTTGTTTATCAATATCCTAACTAAAAGCTGGGAGTAACAGCAGTAAATTTAATATCCAAACAGATACAAATACAATTCAGGTTATCTGTTTAAGTTTCTTATCAATTTTTTAGATGTTATACTGAAGAGGAATCACTAAAATATAATGATTTGATATGCATATATACTACAGTGTGAATAAATAATGTTAGAAATACTTGCATAGTTAATTTAGTTACTGCAAGTCCGGAAAATTGTACCAAATTGCTTGGTTTATGAATCAAGAAAGAAGTTAAGACAATTGCTTATACCCCAAATCCCAGTAAAATAATTAACATGCTATCCTATTTTCATATCAGGCTTGTCTTTTTTGTCCACCCATAGTAACATCTGAAGTGTATTTGCTTGTGGTACATAGTATGTAACCACAAGAGAAAATATCTGAAAATAAATATGAAGAAATAAAAATTTTATTTAACAACATACAAGAGTTAAATCTACATAGACTATTTTTGCTAAACAGGAAATGACTTCACTTTTTTAATCTCTTGTTTTATAAGCTTTAAATATGAGAAATATTAATAGTAATAATAATGCTAATGATATGATAAAATAATAAAATAATTTTGTTACACACAAAAAAAAAAAAAAAAACTAAAATTAAAATTACAAATGTTCAAATCTACATCTTGTACTCCAGTGCCTAGTGTCTTATCCACTTAGCTATTACAAGGAGAAGTGAAACTTCTGAAGACTTATAAGCTAAACACTGAATTTTTAGAGTACTATTTTTCAGAAATGCTTGAGATGTGGGTCTATTATTAGACAAGAACTGTTTATGTTTAGGGTAGATGCTCACCAAGTTTCATTCAAATTGGAAACCCAAATGTCTTGCCTTCTTATAAGGATCAGAAGGCTGCCACTAAAAAACTAGTATATAGTGGATAACTTTGATATA